TCATGAACCAGTGTGCCATGGAACCAGTATGTCATTGAACCAGTGTGCCTTGGTACCAGTGCGTCATTGAACCAGTGTGTCATGGAACCAGCGCGTCATTGAACCAGTGTGTCATGGAACCAGTGCATCATGGAACCAGTGTGTCATGGAACCAGTGTGTCATGGAACCAGTGTGCCATGGAACCAGTGCGTCATGGAACCAGTGTGTCATGGAAATAAGTTTGCCATGGAACCAGTGTCATGGAACCAGTGTGTCATGGAACCAGTGTGCCATTGAACCAGTGTGTCATGGAACCAGTGCATCATGAACCAGTGTGTCATGGAACCAGTGTGTCATGGAACCAGTGTGTCATGGAACCAGTGCGTCATTGAACCAGTGTGTCATGGAACCAGTGCTTCAAGGAACCAGTGCATCATGAACCAGTGTGTCATGGAACCAGTGCGTCATGGAACCAGTGTGTCATGGAACCAGTGCGTCATGGAACCAGTGCGTCATGGAACAAGTGCATCACGAACCAGTGTCATGGAACCAGTGTGTCATGGAACCAGTGCGTCATTGAACCAGTGCATCATGAACCAGTGTGTCATCGAACCAGTGTGTCATGGAACCAGTGTGCCATGGAACCATTGTGTCATGGAACCACTGCGTCATGGAACCAGTGTCATGGAACCACTGCGTCATAGAACCAGTGTCATGGAACCAGTGCATCATGAACCAGTGTCATAGAACCAGTGTGTCATGGAACCAGTGCGTCATGGAACCAGTGCGTCATTGAACCAGTGTGTCATGGAACCAGTGCATCATGAACCAGTGTGTCATGGAACCAGTGTGTCATGGAACAAGTGTGCCATGGAACCAGTGTGTCATGGAACCAGTGCGTCATGGAACCAGTGTCATGGAACCAGTGTGTCATGGAACCAGTGCATCATGAACCAGTGTGTCATGGAACCAGTGTGCCATTGAACCAGTGTGTCATGGAACCAGTGCATCATGAACCAGTGTGCCATGGAACCAGTGCGTCATGGAACCAGTGCGTCATGGAACCAGTGCGTCATGGAACCAGTGTGCCATGGAACCAGTGTGTCATGGAACCAGTGCGTCATGGAACCAGTGTCATGGAACCAGTGTGTCATGGAACCAGTGTGCCATTGAACCAGTGTGTCATGGAACCAGTGCATCATGAACCAGTGTGTTATGGAACCAGTGTGTCATGGAACCAGTGCATCATGAACCAGTGTGTCATGGAACCAGTATGTCATGGAACCAGTGTGCCATGGAACCAGTGTGTCATGGAACCAGTGCGTCATGGAACCAGTGTGCCATGGAACCAGTGTCATGGAACCAGTGTATCATGGAACCAGTGTGTCATGGAACCAGTGCATCATGAACCAGTGTGTCATGGAACCAGTGTGCCATTGAACCAGTGTGTCATGGAACCAGTGCATCATGAACCAGTGTGTCATGGAACCAGTGCATCATGAACCAGTGTGTCATGGAACCAGTGTGTCATGGAACCAGTGCATCATGAACCAGTGTGTCATGGAACCAGTGTGCCATGGAACCAGTGCGTCATTGAACCAGTGTGCCATGGAACCAGTGTGTCATGGAACCAGTGCGTCATGGAACCAGTGTGCCATGGAACCAGTGTCATGGAACCAGTGCATGATGAACCAGTGTGTCATGGAACCAGTGTGTCATGAAACCATGCAGTGCGTCATTGAACCAGTGTGCCATTGAACCAGTGTGTCATGGAACCAGTGCATCATGAACCAGTGTGTTATGGAACCAGTGTGTCATGGAACCAGTGCATCATGAACCAGTGTGTCATGGAACCAGTATGTCATGGAACCAGTGTGCCATGGAACCAGTGTCATGGAACCAGTGCATCATGGAACCAGTGCGTCATTGAACCAGTGTGTCATGGAACCAGTGTGCCATGGAACCAGTGCGTCATTGAACCAGTGTGTCATTGAACCAGTGTCATGGAACCAGTGTGTCATGGAACCAGTGCATCATGAACCAGTGTGTCATGGAACCAGTGTGCCATGGAACCAGTGTGCCATGGAACCAGTGTGTCATTGAACCAGTGTGTCATGGAACCAGTGTGCCATGGAACCAGTGCATCATGAACCAGTGTGTCATGGAACCAGTGCGTCATGGAACCAGTGTGCCATGGAACCAGTGTCATGGAACCAGTGCATGATGAACCAGTGTGTCATGGAACCAGTGTGTCATGGAACCATGCAGTGCGTCATTGAACCAGTGTGTCATGGAACCATGCAGTGCGTCATTGAACCAGTGTGCTATGGAACCAGTGTGTCATTGAACCAGTGTGCCATGGAACCAGTGTGTCATTGAACCAGTGTGCCATGGAACCAGTGTGTCATGGAACCAGTGCGTCATGGAACCAGTGTGCCATGGAACCAGTGTCATGGAACCAGTGCATGATGAACCAGTGTGTCATGGAACCAGTGTGTCATGGAACCATGCAGTGCGTCATTGAACCAGTGTGCCATTGAACCAGTGTGTCATGGAACCAGTGCATCATGAACCAGTGTGTTATGGAACCAGTGTGTCATGGAACCAGTGCATCATGAACCAGTGTGTCATGGAACCAGTATGTCATGGAACCAGTGTGCCATGGAACCAGTGTCATGGAACCAGTGCATCATGGAACCAGTGCGTCATTGAACCAGTGTGTCATGGAACCAGTGTGCCATGGAACCAGTGCGTCATTGAACCAGTGTGTCATTGAACCAGTGTCATGGAACCAGTGTGTCATGGAACCAGTGCATCATGAACCAGTGTGTCATGGAACCAGTGTGCCATGGAACCAGTGTGCCATGGAACCAGTGTGTCATTGAACCAGTGTGTCATGGAACCAGTGTGCCATGGAACCAGTGCATCATGAACCAGTGTGTCATGGAACCAGTGCGTCATGGAACCAGTGTGCCATGGAACCAGTGTCATGGAACCAGTGCATGATGAACCAGTGTGTCATGGAACCAGTGTGTCATGGAACCATGCAGTGCGTCATTGAACCAGTGTGTCATGGAACCATGCAGTGCGTCATTGAACCAGTGTGCTATGGAACCAGTGTGTCATTGAACCAGTGTGCCATGGAACCAGTGTGTCATTGAACCAGTGTGTCATTGCACCAGTGTGCCATGGAACCAGTGTCATGGAACCAGTGCATCATGAACCAGTGTGTCATGGAACCAGTGTGCCATTGAACCAGTGTGTCATGGAACCAGTGCATCATGAACCAGTGTGCCATGGAACCAGTGCGTCATGGAACCAGTGCGTCATGGAACCAGTGTGCCATGGAACCAGTGTGTCATGGAACCAGTGCGTCATGGAACCAGTGTCATGGAACCAGTGTGTCATGGAACCAGTGCATCATGAACCAGTGTGTCATGGAACCAGTGTGCCATTGAACCAGTGTGTCATGGAACCAGTGCATCATGAACCAGTGTGCCATGGAACCAGTGCGTCATGGAACCAGTGTGCCATGGAACCAGTGTCATGGAACCAGTGTGTCATGGAACCAGTGTCATGGAACCAGTGTGTCATGGAACCAGTGTCATGGAACCAGTGTGTCATGGAACCAGTGTGCCATTGAACCAGTGTGTCATGGAACCAGTGCATCATGAACCAGTGTGTTATGGAACCAGTGTGTCATGGAACCAGTGCATCATGAACCAGTGTGTCATGGAACCAGTATGTCATGGAACCAGTGTGCCATGGAACCAGTGTGTCATGGAACCAGTGCGTCATGGAACCAGTGTGCCATGGAACCAGTGTCATGGAACCAGTGCGTCATGGAACCAGTGTGCCATGGAACCAGTGTCATGGAACCAGTGTATCATGGAACCAGTGTGTCATGGAACCAGTGCATCATGAACCAGTGTGTCATGGAACCAGTGTGCCATTGAACCAGTGTGTCATGGAACCAGTGCATCATGAACCAGTGTGTCATGGAACCAGTGCATCATGAACCAGTGTGTCATGGAACCAGTGTGCCATGGAACCAGTGCGTCATTGAACCAGTGTGCCATGGAACCAGTGTGTCATGGAACCAGTGTCATCGAACCAGTGTGCCATGGAACCAGTGCGTCATGGAACCAGTGCGTCATTGAACCAGTGCGTCATGGAACCAGTGTGTCATGGAACCAGTGTGTCATTGAACCAGTGCGTCATGGAACCATTGTGTCATGGAACCAGTGCGTCATTGAACCAGTGTGTCATGGAACCAGTGTGTCATGGAACCAGTGCGTCATGAACCAGTGTGTCATGGTACCAGTGCGTCATGGAACCAGTGCATGGTGGAACCAGTGCGTCATTGAACAAGTGCGTCATGGAACCAGTGCATCACGGAAAAAGTGCTTCATGGAACCAGTGCATCATGGAACGAGTGCGTCATGGAATCAGTGCTTCATGGAACCAGTGCGTCATGGAACCAGTGTGTCATGGAACCAGTGTGATATGGAACCAGTGCGTCACGGAGTCCCTTCACTGAGGTCACTTGACTGAGGTCCCTTCACTGAGGTCCCTTCCCTGAGAGTCCCTTCACTGAGGTCACTTCACTGAGAGTCCCTTCACTGAGGTCCCTTCACTGAGGTCCCTTCGCTGAGGTCCCTTCAATGAGGTCCCTTCACTGAGTCCCTTCACTGAGGTCACTTCACTGAGGTCACTTCACTGAGGTCCCTTCACTGAGGTCACTCCACTGAGGTCCTTTCACTGAGGTCACTTCACTGAGGTCCTTTCACTGAGAGTCCCTTCATTGAGGTCCCTTCACTGAGGTCACGTCACAAACAACAAGAACAGCTTGAACTGTGTACATAATTGATTATCAAAAGGTCATCTCTCGACCACAAGACACTGAAACGTTATACAAATGGCGACAGTGGCACAACCATTGCACGTACGTGTGAATATTTAAAAGAAAACTAATAGTCTCCATCAGTTTCAGTTTCAAACAAAGAACACGACGCAGTTGAAGTATTACAAAGTAGATATATTGAAATGAAAATATAATCAGGCACAACTCTGGTAGCATTTGATCATGTTGTCAGACAATAACTCCAGGAATATTTACAATGGACCGCATCAAAAACCACATGTTTAAGGCAAACGGTTTTTTGGTTACAAAATATGCAATAACGAACATTTGTGAACAGTATATTGTAAAACGCAGCTGAGACAAATACACGCACTGTTTCATCGTATTTCTGTTTAAATAAGTATCAAACTGAGATAAAAAGACACACACGAAGAAACGTACGTCAAACGTACGTCAAACGTACGTCGCCCAGTATAATATAACACTGTTAGACAGCTACGGGGTAATGTCTACAAATATAAGATTCACATTCTCCAAAACCTACCAACAGTGTCGAAATTATAATGAGATTAATAATATTACACCTTAAATCATTGTTTTTCCAATATTAAGGAATATGGTGATATACATTCCAGCTGTGTCGAATTAGTCTTGAGAATGAACCGTTGAGGCTATTGAGACAGTTATCTTGAACCTGTAGGACATGGTGACCCTTTCGCGAACACCTAGCGTCATCAGTGATTTTCAGTGATCCAGACTGGCTATTAAGTATAGTACCAGAGTATTTGATACATCTACGGTAACGTGTCTGTCATTGACGTATATGTACGATGTCCCTATTTTGACTTGTATCATATGTTACCGTGTTTCTTCAGGTGAACAATTGACTTGCCTTTGCATGTGTTTGTGACACCGATGGGGCAGGATACGCTCACTTTTTCGCGAACACCTGAACTCATTACTGTTTGATAGTGATTCATAAACACATGATCGTGATATTGTCGGAATTCAAAATCGACTCTGCTTTATGCAGACATTTCTATTGGATATGGACAGGGTTATTTGAGTAAAACACACTTCCTGTTCGTTTACACCTGGTGTCATCACAGAAACCACGACATAATAGTTGATTTTCCTTTAACATAGCCTGGAATAGAACAGTGGGTCATTTATATTTGAATGTTTGACAGATTAATTATGAGTTCAAGAAGATCATGCACTACATGGGCCTGTGACAGTGGGTCGTAGATACATCTATGCAGAGATATGTCTAAAAATGAGTATTTTGATCATCTTGTGTTAATTCATACATAATACTATACATCACACTCTCAATTACAACGACATTAAACGTCGAGTACATGCATCATACAAATTTAAAAGCGAATAAGTAGCATTTAATTTGGCTTGTGTGGGACCAAATCATTTCCATCAACTATACAAAACTGATTTAATTGATACATATTATGCCAGAGAGAAACATCCAGATGGTCATAACATTAAATCATTGATTCAAATGCATCTTGATTAATAGCAGCGATAGTTCAAACTAAAATGGGACTTTTTGCTGAGCACCAAATTTCAATTTTCTTTCAACTGAATAATTTTGACAAACGATTATATTTCTTTGAGTAATAGTTGTGTTCGTTACGCGGGGTAAAGGGCCGGTCGATGGCTAGGGCATTGTTGGAACTTCTTTTTGGACGTCTTAGTGATATAATATTTCACAAGAGCGTCTGCTATAATTTAAAAATTCTAAATTTACCAGTGAATGTATGGATGACATAAGAATACACTATCTAATTGTTTTCTTTTACCCTGATTATAACATAGTGAAACAGTATGATGCTATTTGCCAAAAAATATTACCCAATTCCTTTGTTACTCTCAGAGTATTACAGCAATAACTTGTCATAATCGTGAAACAAATGATGTATGAACTTAACTATAGAGCGGAAATGTATGACACTTCGGTGTGGTTGAGTTAGTATGGTATATGACGGCTAGATGCAGGTGCATTTAGACTGGTAAGCTCCTACATAGCAGAACGTCTAAAAATATTCTGTTACGGAACATATATGTTACTCAATCTACTGACACAACTATATGAGTAAAATATTTCATTGCCATTTCAATTCTGACTACAGTGTCAACGTTTCAATGATTTGCTAGTCCCAGGTAGGTGATCAATGTTTCGTCTGTCCTTTAAGCATAGAAGCCCCACATGAAGGTGGCTACAGTCATCAGTAGGATAGCGTTGAAATTGAGGACTCTTCTCCATGTCTTCCCCTCGTAGATGGACGTTTGTTTGGCCTCCAAAGCTGCCTTCTGCTCTGGGGTGAGCTCCTGTTGTTGGTTCATCTTCTCGATGCCACAGATCCATTGCCCCGCTTTCTTGTACCATGGTAGACTGCCGTAATCCACTGCAACACGGGGAGGCAAGGAATGAATAACGAGATGCACGACTCCTTCAAGACATGCCAACAACAGTGAAGGCTCCCTTTCTGGTTTAAAGTCATTGTTCTGTTTCTGGTTATTAAGAAGGGTGCAATACTGGGCAATATTGAACATACTAACCTTTTGGGGAGGTAGCCATGGGCAATATTGAACATACTAACCTTTTGGGGAGGGAGCCATGGGCAATATTGAACATACTAACCTTTTGGGGAGGGAGCCATGGGCAATATTGAACATACTAACCTTTTGGGGAGGGAGCCATGGGCAATATTGAACATACTAACCTTTTGGGGAGGTAGCCATGGGCAATAGTGAACATACTAACCTTTTGGGGAGGGAGCCATGGGCAATAGTGAACATACTAACCTTTTGGGGAGGTAGCCATGGGCAATATTGAACATACTAACCTTTTGGGGAGGGAGCCATGGGCAATATTGAACATACTAACCTTTTGGGGAGGTAGCCATGGGCAATATTGAACATACTAACCTTTTGGGGTGGGAGCCATGGGCAATATTGAACATACTAACTTTTTGGGGTGGGGGCCATGGGCAATAGTGAACATATTAACCTTTTGGGGTGGGGGCCATGGGCAATAGTGAACATATTAACCTTTTGGGGTGGGGGCCATTGGCAATAGTGAACATATTAACCTTTTGGGGAGGGAGCCATGGGCAATATTGAACATACTAACCTTTTGGGGAGGGAGCCATGGGCAATATTGAACATACTAACCTTTTGGGGAGGTAGCCATGGGCAATAGTGAACATATTAACCTTTTGGTGTGGGAGCCATGGGCAATATTGAACATACTAACCTTTTGGGGAGGTAGCCAAGGGCAATATTGAACATACTAACCTTTTGGGGAGGGAGCCATGAGCAATATTGAACATACTAACCTTTTGGGGAGGGAGCCATGGGCAATATTGAACATACTAACCTTTTGGGGAGGGAGCCATGGGCAATATTGAACATACTAACCTTTTTGGGAGGTAGCCATGGGCGATACTGAACATACTAACCTATTGGCGCCGCAGCCAAGGCTTCTTGTTTCTCCTTCTCCTCCTGGGCTATTTGCGCCTCGTCGATGTCGACACGTGGCCCAGTTTCAAAGCGGTTCCAGAATGTCAGCCGAACCAACTGGAAATGATTAAAAATAAAATATTATTACATCAAAAGTGGCAATGTTATGCATTCATTCCTTTTTTTTTAGAAGAGAACCGTCATTTAGAAAAAGATGTTATATACTGACATCATAAACTGACAAAGCTGTATGAAAGCAACCCAGAGCAAACCGATGTAATTACATTAGAAGACGGATGATAGGGATCAACATTCTTTGTAGCAAACAGTTTGTCTTCTTGTCATTAAAAGGGTTTGTATGTGATGATGTGTTCAATGCATCCCCCATTAAAAAGAAATATATACTGAGTTGTTTTTTTATGCAAATGAAAATTTAAAAAACTGTTTTTAAATTTGATTCTGTCTATTTAACCATCCCTGAAACAGTTTGTAAAAAGTAATCTGTGACAGGGTAATTTTGTGTAAAAATGAATTGGTTCAGTGAAGACTGGGGTAAGAAATAGATTTGCAACCACATGTTTGCGAGGTTGTAAAATTTCCCCGAAAAAACAAATTGATTTTCAGAGATAAGATGTCTAAGATACGCATCACCAGTTGTATATTATGCGAATTATTATTATTATTTTTTTTTTTTTTATCAAATTATATTTTATCAAAAAAAATCATGTAGAAGTATTCTTTGAGTGTTGACTAAGCGCCAGAACAATTCATTTTTTGGGATATCGATAACATATGATAAAAATCAACTAATAGGTATAGTAACATATGACAGAGAGGCCCGTGAAGATCCGTGATGGAATAGGTCTTCAGCAACCCATGCTTGCCGTAAAAGGCGACTATGCTTGTCGTAAGAGACGACTAAAGGGATCGGTTGGTCAGGCTCGCTGACTTGGTTGATGCTTGTCATCGTATCCCAAATGCGTGGATCGATGCTCATGATGTCAATCACTGGAGTGCCTGGTCCAGACTCGATTATTTACAGACCGCCGCCATATAGCTGGAGTATTGCAGAGTGCGGCGTTAAACAACAAGCAAACATATGACAGATCTTGAGGACAAATGCTTATGAAAATATAGTGCGTGACGAATTCTTACGTGGATGTCATCAATTGATTTTGTGAGCAGACTGATGATGATGGTGACAATGGTGACGATGAGGAACAGGATACACCCGAAATGGAGGTAGTGGACTTTGGAGAGGATGTCAGGCATGGGGTTGTCTGAGGTTTCACCGCAGGGGGTGGGAGAATACGAATACTCCCAGGCAAAGCGGATCAGCCCAGTGACGAGTCCGACCATCAGGCCCCAGAAAGCACCCTGCAAAGAAGGCATAAGAAAACGTATGTAACACATATCATGATAGATACACATCCACTGTCTATCCCAATTACTGAGCTGTGTGTGTAATATTTAAGAAAGACAAATATAGATATTTATTTTCCTTGGGGTCACTTGGTGTGATCGTAAGCTAGTGAAATGAAATGAAAGCGGATGAAAGCCGTTTTCACTTTATTCATATCGAACTAATTTGGTAAAACCAAACCAGTGGGAGGGAGGCCGTAAACGTTTGATATAAATAACGACCATTGTCGGGACAAAATTATATAACCCACAATAACCACATCCTTGTACATCTAAGGGAAGCAACTCTGTACGGTAAATTGCTATTCCTCAGCAAGGGCAACGTATTAATTTGAGAGAATAGTCGAGTGACCAATACCAGAATGTCCATCAGCAGCACGTTTCCTTAAAGAAGGAAGACTTCTGTTTCATTTTTCAGAATTCCATATTGCGAACCAAAACCAAAACAATGCATCAGCCAGAGATGTGACTATGGGAATACAACTGTAACGAAAACGCATCTGAAGTATCACCAATAGGATTGCTTTGTGGACAAGTAATTAACTCAGGCATATTATGCCCATTCTGCACCTCCTTCCTCCCATTAGGGGCACGGGTGGCCCAGGCGTCTAAGGCTCCGCAATTCGCTGAGCAGAGTTCCGTCCCTTGGGCACGCCAAACTTCTTTTTGTGGGTTCGAATCCCGGTTCGCCCCGATTATGTTTCTTGGTTTGCCAGCACCTTGCCCGTTCTAATGGCTTTCACCAAAGTGGTAAAACGTCTAAGACCTGCATCACTTCGGGTTTTCCTCCCACATTAATCTGACACGCCGTGATATAACGGGAATAATGTTCAAAGCTGCGTTAAACCCAACTCACTCACTCATACATCTTCCTCGTCGAACTCTAACACAAACGACAGAAAATGCACATATTTTCACTCACGACTTCATTGGTGCGTTTCCAGAAGACGGCGAGCAGGTAGACGGCACAGACAGGAGGAGCAAGGAAGCTGGTGATTCCCTGGATGTAGTGGAACAGCTCACTGATGTTCTGGACGATGGGGATCCAGGCAATACTGACACCAACAAGGATGAGGACACACACTCTGAAAACAAAAAAACAATTGAAGATCACAAATTAATCCAACAACATATAATAAAATGAAATGACACTACAGATACGTTTTCTTTGTCTGTCGTTGTTTGTTGTTGTTTTTTGGTTTTACGCTGCACTCAGCAATATTCCAGCTCTGTGACGGCGGTCTGTAAATAATCGAGTCTGGACCAGACAACCTAGTGACTGATATCATGAGCAGCGATCCACGCAATTGGAAAACGATGACAACGAAAAGTATGATTCTCCGAATCTCTGAAGTCATCGGTTATCAATTCATAAATAACTTCATTTCCAAATTAAACCATAACTTCGTATACAACACACCTCCAACACATCTCCCCATATGTAACATCTTATATATATATGACCCACCGGGAGAAAAGGGGCCTTATGGTGCTAGGATACAATTGTGCCATGACGTCATAAAGACGTTTGACGTCAACTTTCTTCAGTGAAGATCGCCATGTTTAATGTCATGTATCGCTGCAATACATATGAACTGAAGCTTGTGAATTGTATTTTTGTGTTCCGAAGACGCTGTGGGTTTTAAAATATAATGAAAAGTCAAAATGTGATGTTTCACCCACAATGTCCCTCATATGTCATGAATGATCCTATTTGCTGGTACTAATCCTGTCCACAATCATGAAGAAGAATCATAACAGACGATGCTTTCCACCCTACCTGCCAACAATCATGAGCTCCACATCAGAAGCTTGTTTCCTAATTCTTCGCCAGATGTCCATGGTGAAGAGGGTGGAGCTGCTGTTGAAGATGGAGGTGAGGGAGGAGATGAGGGCGGACATCATCACCGCCAGCATGAGACCTCGGAGTCCCGGGGGCATCAGTTCCAGCACCAGAGTCGGGTAGGCGATGTTGGTGCAGCCAGAACGACTTCCGCACACCTTGAAACACACTTCTGGATCGGCACAGGCTACTCTATCTGTAGAGATAATGAGTGAGTGAGTGAGTATGGTTTTACGCCGCTCTTAGCAATATTCCAGCAACATCACGGCGGGGGACACCAGAAATGGGCTTCACACATTGTACCCATGTCGGGAATCGAACCCGGGTCTTTAGCGTGACGAGCGAACGCTTTAACCATTAGGCTACCCGACCACCCCTGTAGAGATAATGGACCGATATCACATATAGAGATATTAAATACAAATTTTGAATATAAGAATTAAAACATGGTACATGTATTTAAGATCGACAGTCCGACTCTGTTACATACGAAAACGAATTGGACTTCAGCAAATCAATGCTTGTCGTAAGAGGCGACAAAAAGGATCGGGTGGTCAGGCTTGGTCATCTTATCCCAAGTGCATTATATCAATCAACGGATTGTCTCGCCCAGGCTCGATTATTTACAGTTACATAGCTGGTTATTGCCGAGTGCATAGTTAACACAACAAACAACCTTACAGAGAAGAGATTACAGGAGTAGAAGTCAAATGAAATCTACAAACATTGGTGTGTTGCTTACAGACAAAAGAGTCGGTATCTGGTGATTAGATAATCACTGACCAGATAAATTGGACAGTACTCTTTGTATAACAACCAGCAAGCACAACATGCTGTAACCCAAATACAGTAAAGTACGGTTATAACGAACTCAAAGGGACTACTAATTTTAGTTCGTTATAACCGTAGTTCGTTATAAGCATATATACAGCATAACTACAGCAAATAGTCGGGACCAAAAAAGTAAGTTCGTTATATCCGTCAGTTCGTTATAAGCGTGTTCGTTATAACCGTAGTTTACTGTACAGGTAAGAAACCACTGACCGGGGAACAGTATTCTGGAGATCATCCCTGGGAAGACGATTAGGAACATGGGGAGGAACTTGAGGTAACCAGCAAGGATGGCGCCGGCCTTGGCGTTGGAGATGTTCTTGGCAGCCAGAGCCCTCTGTACAATAACCTGCAGAGAAACACAGTTTCCTTAACTTGCTCCAAATAACAAAGGCTCCATTGCAAAATTTCTATCTGACACTGACCAAGAAGTCGCGTTAGTGCATGTGGCAAGCCTAACAAAAGGACATGGAATAGCACACATCGCTGGTCCTTTGTAATTTGATGTGATACTCTTGAATAGGTTATGTACTAGACTGGGGGTCTATTAGTCCTTGCTTTCCCGGTTGATTTTTCAAAATAAACGGATATTATTTCTTGTAAATTGGTATGGCATTATTGTACACTAGTGTAAACAAACAAATAGGCACGCCCAGTCACAGTCCTGAGTAAAGGTCAAGGTCATTATGACCAGCCATTTCCACCCAAAACACTCCTCCTTCGGGCCACGCACGAAGACCTTTCACATCAACATCCACACGTCACCATGATTCATATACACCTGGGTATCGATGGTAGGAGTAAACGAGCATGGATAACAGCGACATGAGTGGAGCTTGACTCCAGGACATACCTGATCAAAGTACCAGTAAATGTCTTCAGACATCACATATACCTGAGTGTCGATGGTAGGAGTAGAGGAGTGTTTGACTCGAGGACATACGTGATTAGAGCACAAGTATATGGCACCATGAACTATATATACCTGAGTATCGATGGTGGGAGTAGAGTAGTGTTCGACTCCAGGACATACCTGGTCAGAGCACCAGTACCAGTGATATGTCATTGGGAGTCGCATATACCTTGGTATCGATGGTGGGAGTAGAGGAGTGTTCGACTCCAGGACATACCTGGTCAGAGCACCAGTGACATGCCACCTGGAGCCATATAAACCTGGGTGTCGATGGTGGGAGTAGAGGAGGGTTTGACTCCAGGATATACCTGGTCAGAGCACCAGTACCAGTGATATGTCACCAGGAGCCATATATACCTGGGTGTCGATGGTGGGAGTAGAGGAGTGTTTGACTCTAGGACATACCTGGTCAGAATACAAGTACCTGGATATGTCACCTGGAGCCATATATACCTGGGTGTCGATGGTGGGAGTAGAGGAGTGTTTGACTCCAGGACATACGTGATTAGAGCACCAGTATATGGCACCATGAACTATATATACCTGGGTATCAATGGTGGGAGTAGAGTAGTGTTCGACTCCAGGACATACCTGGTCAGAGCACCAGTACCAGTGATATGTCATTGGGAGCCGCATATACCTTGGTATCGATGGTGGGAGTAGAGTAGTGTTCGACTCCAGGACATACCTGGTCAGAGCACCAGTGATATGCCACCAGGAGCCATATAAACCTGGGTGTCGATGGTGGGAGTAGAGGAGTGTTTGACTCCAGGACATACCTGGTCAGAGCACCAGTACCAGTGATATGTCACCAGGAGCCATATATACCTGGGTGTCGATCGTGGGAGTAAAGGAGTGTTTGTCTCCAGGACATACCTGGACAGAGCACCAGTACCAGTGATATGTCACCAGGAGCCATATATACCTGGGTGTCGATGGTGGGAGTAGAGGAGTGTTCGACTCCAGGACATACCTGGTCAGAGCACCAGTACCAGTGATATGTCACCAGGAGCCATATATACCTGGGTGTCGATGGTGGGAGTAGAGGTGTGTTTGACTCCAGGACATACCTGGTCAGAATACAAGTACCTGGATATGTCACCAGGAGCCATATATACCTGGGTGTCGATGGTGGGAGTAGAGGAGTGTTAGACTCCAGGACATACCTGGTCAGAGCACCAGTGATATGCCACCAGGAGCCATATAAACCTGGGTGTCGATGGTGGGAGTAGAGGAGTGTTTGACTCCAGGACATACCTGGTCAGAGCACCAGTACCAGTGATATGTCACCAGGAGCCATATATACCTGGGTGTCGATGGTGGGAGTAAAGGAGTGTTTGTCTCCAGAACATACCTGGACAGAGCACCAGTACCAGTGATATGTCACCAGGAGCCATATATACCTGGGTGTCGATGGTGGGAGTAGAGGAGTGTTCGACTCAAGGACATACCTGGTCAGAGCACCAGTACCAGTGATATGTCACCAGGAGCCATATATACCTGGGTGTCGATGGTGGGAGTAGAGGTGTGTTTGACTCCAGGACATACCTGGTCAGAATACAAGTACCTGGATATGTCACCAGGAGCCATATATACCTGGGTGTCGATGGTGGGAGTAGAGGAGTGTTAGACTCCAGGACATACCTGGTCAGAGCACCAGTACCAGTGATATGTCACCAGGAGCCATATATACCTGGGTGTCGATGGTGGGAGTAAAGGAGTGTTTGTCTCCAGGACATACCTGGACAGAGCACCAGTACCAGTGATATGTCACCAGGAGCCATATATACCTGGGTGTCGATGGTGGGAGTAGAGGAGTGTTCGACTCCAGGACATACCTGGTCAGAGCACCAGTACCAGTGATATGTCACCAGGAGCCATATATACCTGGGTGTCGATGGTGGGAGTAGAGGTGTGTTTGACTCCAGGACATACCTGGTCAGAATACAAGTACCTGGATATGTCACCAGGAGCCATATATACCTGGGTGTCGATGGTGGGAGTAGAGGAGTGTTAGACTCCAGGACATACCTGGTCAGAGCACCAGTGATATGCCACCAGGAGCCATATAAACCTGGGTGTCGATGGTGGGAGTAGAGGAGTGTTTGACTCCAGGACATACCTGGTCAGAGCACCAGTACCAGTGATATGTCACCAGGAGCCATATATACCTGGGTGTCGATGGTGGGAGTAAAGGAGTGTTTGTCTCCAGAACATACCTGGACAGAGCACCAGTACCAGTGATATGTCACCAGGAGCCATATATACCTGGGTGTCGATGGTGGGAGTAGAGGAGTGTTCGACTCAAGGACATACCTGGTCAGAGCACCAGTACCAGTGATATGTCACCAGGAGCCATATATACCTGGGTGTCGATGGTGGGAGTAGAGGTGTGTTTGACTCCAGGACATACCTGGTCAGAATACAAGTACCTGGATATGTCACCAGGAGCCATATATACCTGGGTGTCGATGGTGGGAGTAGAGGAGTGTTAGACTCCAGGACATACCTGGTCAGAGCACCAGTACCAGTGATATGTCACAAGGAGCCATATAAACCTGGGTGTCGAGGGTGGGAGTAGAGGAGTGTTCGACTCCAGGACATACCTGGTCAGAGCACCAGTGACATGCCACCTGGAGCCATATAAACCTGGGTGTCGATGGTGGGAGCAGAGGAGGGTTTGACTCCAGGATATACCTGGTCAGAGCACCAGTACCAGTGATATGTCACCAGGAGCCATATATACCTGGGTGTCGATGGTGGGAGTAGAGGAGTGTTTGACTCCAGGACATACCTGGTCAGAGCACCAGTACCAGTGATATGTCATCAGGAGCCATATATACCTGGGTATCGATGGTGGAGTAGAGGAGTGTTCGACTCCAGGACATACCTGGTCAGAGCACCAGTACCAGTGATATGCCACCTGGAGCCATATAAACCTGGGTATCGATGGTGGGAGTAGAGGAGTGTTTGACTCCAGGACATACCTGGTCAGAGCACCAGTACCAGTGATATGTCACCTGGAGCCATATATACCTGGGTATCGATGGTGGGAGTAGAGGAGTGTTTGACTCCAGGACATACCTGGTCAGAGCACCAGTACCAGTGATATGCCACCTGGAGCCATATATACCTGGGTATCGATGGTTGGAGAGGAGGAGTGTTCAACTCCAGGACATACCTGGTCAGAGCACCAGTACCAGTGATATGTCACCAGGAGCCATATATACCTGGGTGTCGATGGTGGGAGTAGAGGAGTGTTCGACTCCAGGACATACCTGGTCAGAGCACCAGTACCAGATGGAGGAGATGGTGAGGCCGAACATGATTCCAGGCCAGGGAAGACCAGGATCTTCTGGGGATCTGATGAGATGCATGGAGTTGGTTGGAGGTAAGCCACACTTGGTGTAGCTGTAGTTGTCGTTTTTAACGCCGTAGTGGACTTTCGTTGTATTGGGCCACGCTTCGAAGAATTCCTTGATAACTCTTTCATAGCCTCCAATCTCAATAAAACCTGTCCAAAAACAGGTGAATGAGCATTAACGTGATGTCAGATATTAAATATTAAAATGAACCCCTGGTATGAAGAATGTAAGTAGCTTAGTGATATCGATATTCTGAGAGAGTGAGTGAGTAAGCTATATTCCAGCAATGGGCTTCACACATTGTACCCAATGTCGGTAATCGAACTCGGGTCTTCGGCTTGACGAGCGAACGCTTTAACCATTAGGCTAACCGACCGTCCCTCCATATTCTGCTTACTAGAGGTCCAAGTGTCACTCTCCTCATACTGGAGGTCCAAGGGCTACTCTCCTCATACTGGAGGTCCAAGGGCTACATTCTTCCTACAATAGGTCCAAGGACTACACTCTTCTTACAATAGGTCCAAGGACTACACTCTTCCTACAATAGGTCCAAGGACTACACTCTTCCTACAATAGGTCCAAGGACTACACTCTTCCTACAATAGGTTCAAGGGCTACACTCTTCCTACAATAGGTCCAAAGGCTACGCTCTTCCTACAATAGGTCCAAGGACTACACTCTTCTTACAATAGGTCCAAGGACTACACTCTTCTTACAATAGGTCCAAGGACTACACTCTTCCTACAATAGGTCCAAGGACTACACTCTTCCTACAATAGGTCCAAGGACTACACTCTTCCTACAATAGGTCCAAAGGCTACGCTCTTCCTACAATAGGTCCATGGACTACACTCTTCCTACAATAGGTCCAAGGGCTACACTCTTCCTACAATAGGTCCAAAGGCTACGCTCTTCCTACAATAGGTCCATGGACTACACTCTTCCTACAATAGGTCCATGGACTACACTCTTCCTACAATAGGTCCATGGACTACACTCTTCCTACAATAGGCCCAAAGGCTACGCTCTTCCTACAATAGGTCCAAGGGCTACACTCTTCCTACAATAGGTCCAAGGGCTACACTCTTCCTACAATAGGTCCAAGGACTACACTCTTCCTACAATAGGTCCAAGGACTACACTCTTCCTACAATAGGTCCAAGGACTACACTCTTCTTACAATAGGTCCAAGGACTACACTCTTCCTACAATAGGTCCAAGGGCTACACTCTTCCTACAATAGGTCCAAGGGCTACACTCTTCCTACAATAGGTCCAAGGGCTACACTCTTCCTACAATAGGTCCAAGGACTACACTCTTCCTACAATAGGTCCAAGGACTACACTCTTCCTACAATAGGTCCAAAGGCTACGCTCTTCCTACAATAGGTCCATGGACTACACTCTTCCTACAATAGGTCCAAGGACTACACTCTTCCTACAATAGGTCCAAGGACTACACTCTTCCTACAATAGGTCCAAGGACTACACTCTTCCTACAATAGGTCCAAGGACTACACTCTTCTTACAATAGGTCCAAGGACTACACTCTTCCTACAATAGGTCCAAGGACTACGCTCTTCCTACAATAGGTCCAAGGACTACACTCTTCCTACAATAGGCCCAAGTGCTACTTACTCATCACCATGAGGATAAAGGCACCAATGACCATGATGATTGTTTGGATGAAGTCAGTCCAGATCACAGCAGTCAGACCACCTGGCGAGTAGACATATATCAGTGTCACGTGAAGAGATCAGTTAGGATAGGGATACATTGTTTTATGCTTTGGATGATATCCTCGCCTCAGTCTCTCCCCCTCTGTCTCTCTCTCTCTCTCTCTCTCTCTCTCTCTCTCTATATATATATATATATATATATATATATCTGCCTATATCTCCCTCTATGTCTATATCTCCCTCTTTATATATCTCTCTCTGCCTTTATATCCCTCTATGTCTATGTCTCCCTCTTTGTATATATATATTTGCCTTTATCTCCCTCTATGTCTATATCTCCCTCTCTCTATATATATCTCTCTCTTTACCTTTATCTCTCTGTCTATATGTCCCTCTCTCTCTCTCTCTCTCTCTCTCTCTCTATATATATATATATATATATATATATATATATCTGCCTTTATCTCCCTCTATGTCTATATATCCCTCTTTGTATATATCTCTTCCTCCCTCTATATATATATCTCTCTGCCTTTATCTTCCTCTATATCCCTGTCTCTCCTTATGTCTCTCTTTCTGCCTCTATCTCTTTCACTCCATCTCTAACTCTCCCTCGTGTGAGTAAGTACAGTCAGATAATGGCGTGAAGGCTGGTGTTTCCCTACCTCCAATGGTAAAGAGAGCGGCTATGACGAGCAGGATGATGACAGCCACATACAGGTTCAGCTCCGGCAAGGCCTGTGTCAGGAAGATGGCGCCGGAGTACAAGTCGGCCTGGAAGAGGGAGACGTACACCATACAATCACCGATCTAGAGCGCGTGATGTTAGTGTGCTCATGCTGCTCGATCCAAATCGTATTTTGATAAAAATGTTTCAGTTTAGAAATAGAAGCGACACAATCATTTTCATGATATTAAGAAATCGCTACTAACAGCAGAGTCCATTGTACGATTCCGACTTTATCATAAGCATGTCATTATACATCACAACATTCAAGGTCTCAGTAAAGCTTTCACATTTTTTTATGGTAGGCATGTGGAGGACATTTCCAAATTTTACGCATCAGTGACAAAACTCATGTCCGATGCAAACCCTGTTTGGGCTCGTACCATATGTTTCCGTGTTCGTTCAGGTGAACAATTGACTTGCCTTTGCGTGTGTTTGTGACGGGTGCCACCAGTGGCGCAGGATACGCTCCCTTTTTCGCGAACAATTGGTATCATCACTATTTCATAGTGATTCATTAACACATGCTCAGGATATAGTAGGAATCATACAATTGATTCTGCTTTCAGCAGAGATTTCTTTTGAATTCGAAAAGACCTTTGTCGTTTATATACTATGACTCGCTACAAAATAAACTTGTGTTGCAAATTACTGAAATACAGAGACTTTACATCATAGAGAGTATTTATACTTACAGAGATCTTCGTGAAGACATACAGGATCAAGGCAAGAACGGCCAGGTAGATTCTGATCCTTTGACCCCCAAAACGCTTCCGGAGGTATTCTGGCATGGTGAATACCTGTTGCAGAAGTCATTTAGTTGTAGGATACACAGTCAGGAGATGATTGGAGACCTACTGTCCTTTTAATCGCCTCAAACTAGATTCCATACCCGTTGTATCTACTCTGGAGCCTAGCGTGTGTATGTGAGTTGGGTTTAACGCCGCTTTTAACAGTATTCCAGTTATATCACGGCGTGTCAGCTTAATGTGGGAGGAAAGCCTGAAGTGATGCAGGCCTCAGACGTTTACCACCTCGGTGAAACCCACGAGCACGGGTATGGTGATGACAAACCTAGAAACATAATCGGGGCGAACCGGGATTCGAACCCACAATCATAGGTTTCTGGCATGCCCAAGGGACGCAACTCTGCACAGCGAATCGCGGCGCCTTAGACGACTGGGCCACCCGTGCCCCCCTGGTGCCGAGCGTTTAAGGTTCATAGTAATTCACTGTCTCCAACACCAGTTTTTTTAATTTTTCGAAACATCCCCAGAAAGACATTGTTAGCACTCACAGACTCTTGATACCGCAAGCATGTTGAATGGACGCGCAAACGGTGATTGGTGGATATGACGAATATCGGTCATAAAAAGGTTTGTTTAAACTATATTGTTATAAATAAAGTTACTTATAGGTTACCGATGTATTCATACGCATAGTTATTGCATAAAAGGGCTTAATTTAGAGGTATCAAATGTAGACTTGATACCTCAATTAAACCACCAGAATCAAGCATTCTTCAATGGCATGGTAGAATGAAACATACACGTAGGTGTTACATCGTCAGCATATTTGACTCCCTGTATAGTATTATTGCCACCGAAAGCAAATGTTCCTTGGGCACGCCAGAAACCTATGATTGTGGGTTCGAATCCCGGTTCGCCCCGAATATGTTTCTAGGTTTGTCAGCACCATACCCGTGCTCGTGGGTTTCACCGAAGTGGTAAACGTCTGAGACCTGCATCACTTCGGGCTTTCCTCCCACATTAAGCTGACACGCCGTGATATAACTGGAATACTGTTAAAAGCGGCGTTAAACCCAAATCACTCACTCACTCTTCGATTAAGACCCATTCCTCAGGTGCTGGACATCTCATAAGAACGGGTTGAGTGAAGATAAGGCTTGCCTATAATTGTAACGTGTGGATGGAAACGTCACCTACCCCAGCAGCGACATAGACGGGGACGAAGATCCACCCGAGAATCATCAGGATGAAGATGGCCTGAATAAAACATGAACAGGGAAAATGAATAGGACATATGAATAGCGTATATGAATAGGGTATATGAACAGTGTATAGGGTTTATGACAGGGCATATGGCATGGTATATGAACATGGTATTTGACATGGTATATGAAGAGGGTTATATGAACAGGGTTATGTGAACAGGGTTATATGAACAGCGTCATGTGAACAGGGTTATATGAACAGGGTTATATGAACAGGGTTATGTGAACAGGGTTATATGAACAGGGTTATGTGAACAGGGTTATATGAACAGGGTCATGTGAACAGGGTTATATGAACAGGGTTATATGAACAGGGTTATATGAACAGGGTTATGTGAACAGGGTTATATGAATAGGGTTATGTGAACAGGGTTATATGAACAGGGTTATATGAACAGGGTTATATGAACAGGGTTATGTGAACAGGGTTATATGAACAGGGTTATGTGAACAGGGTTATATGAACAGGGTTATATGAACATGGTATGTGAACAGGGTTATGTGAACAGGGTCATGGGAACAGGGTCATGTGAACAGGGTTAAGTGATCAGGTTTATGTGAGAGGGTTATATGAACAGGGTATATGAAGAGGTCATAATGATGCCTCACTGTACTTGTACACTAATGTATGAAGTATGACTACCTTTAAGGCATTGAAGATACGTCGATCGACGAGATGTCATTCACAGCGTTCACTTACAAGTTTGTTGGTTTTGTTTGATTGTTGTTTAACGCCGCACTCAGCAATATTCCAGCTATACGATGGCGGTCTGTAAATAATCGAGTCTGGACCAGACTATCCAGTGACTGACATCATGAGCATCGATCCTCGCAATTGGGATACGATGACATGCATCAACCAAGTCGGCGAGCCTGACCACCCGATCCTGTTAGTCGCCCCTTATAGGACATGACGAACTTCACAATGTAGTTAAGCAAGGAACGTTGAGCTTATGTTGGGCTTTTAAATATGATTTGCTTTATCATTACAGAAGATTGATATTCATTTATCCACAGTAAGCCCTTGACAGGGAGATGATGTCATCATGTTTTTGAGTGTTTTTATGGAGCTGAATACAAGAAAATGGAAATACAGATATCTATTCTTTAGACATATAACGTTGGTGTAAAGTTACGTGTTTCCTATGAATTGTAGTCTATTTTTTCAAGATACCCACGTTGAGTTCAAACGCTGCTATGCCGATGCCGCTTGCAGCTCCGGATCCTGCCAGACCCACGAAGTGACCGCTGCCGATGTTGCTGGCGAATAACGACGCCCCAATCTAAAATGTAAATAAACAATATCAAGTCTGTTTGTATCATGTTTGTTGTTGAACGAAACACTCAGCAATATTCCAGCTTCATGGCGGCGGTCTGTAAACAATCGAGTCTGAACCAGACTATCCAGTGATTGACATCATGAGCATCGATCCACGCAATTGGGATACGATGACATGCATCAATCAAGTCAGCGAGCCTGACCACCCGATCCCGTTAGTTGCCTCTTACGACAAGCATAGTCGCCTTTTACGGCAAGCATGGGTAACTGAAGATCTATTTTCACCGGATCTTCACGGGTCCAATATTATTTAAAATCACAGATGGATACATAAATGTAACCACTTGTGTCAAAAGAAAAGATGAAAACAACCACGCACAATCTAAAATTAAAAATATAATATTAGGTAAATATGACGCATACTCATCATATGACATGTTATCCCTGAACTAAAATGCTTGACAACTGATCTTGCTTTAAGAGCCGAGTTCATGGTGTGTCCAGTTGTGTTAGTTGGTATTCTTGGTGGGGATAAGAATAAAAACTGTTCCTCCCAAGTCACATTTGTTTTCAATAGAAAATAAACAATAAAAGTTCTACCGCACTCATCACATGTGCCCGAGAACCCCTTTTTGCAACAATGGACTCGCCATTTTCGTTTTGAATGCTTTACGACCTTAACGTATGTCTCGCGCCACAGTGATATACGCGATGTATTCACTTGCCTGATTGCGTTCCTTCGTACCCCTAAGTCATGATGATCATTCTATCAACCACTGGTTGAGGGATTGTGTTTTGGCCCCCTCACGCACTATTGTGAAACAAAACGTTGTTCTTTTTGTCGCTTTGTCGAACAAAACTTACCGGGATCCAGTGCATGCTCCTTCCCGCCAAAAAGTATCCTCCCACGGTGCCTCTGTTCCGGCATGATGACTGCAACAAAATAGAGACAATCTGAGACATGCAGTAAAGTAGTGGGAACTACAACACACATGGAGACAATCCTAGTGATTCAATAGAGGGTACAGATTGAAACATGGAGACAATCTCAGAGATTCAATAGAGGGAAAATTTAATAAGAGAGAGACAATCTCAGAGATTCAATAGCGGGAAAGTTTAATCACCTAGAGACAATCTCAGAGATTCAATAGCGGGAAAATTTAATAAGAGAGAGACAATCTCAGAGATTCAATAACGGGAAAGTTTAATCACCTAGAGACAATCTCAGAGATTCAATAGCGGGAAAATTTAATAAGAGAGAGACAATCTCAGAGATTCAATAGCGGGAATATTTCATAAGATGGAGACAATCTCAGAGATTCAATAGCGGGAAAATTTAATAAGAGAGAGACAATCTCAGAGATTCAATAGCGGGAAAGTTTAATCACCTAGAGACAATCTCAGAGATTCAATAGCGGGAAAATTTAATAAGAGAGAGACAATCTCAGAGATTCAATAGCGGGAATATTTCATAAGATGGAGACAATCTCAGAGATTCAATAGCGGGAAAATTTAATAAGATAGAAACAATTTCAGTGACTCGACAGAGCGAACTTCTCAAACATAAGACAATCTTAGAAATTCAATGGCGATAACTGCAACACGCATTGAGACAATCTCAGCGATGCAGTGACGAGAACAACTCCACAGCAAATACATTTCATTTTACGTTTTACTTATACTAATTACTTATTCCTTTTAACGCTGACATACATTTCCACTTCCCATTGTTACTCCCCATCAGTGACCTTATGAATGATTGACTTTCGAGAGAAGACACACAATTCAAGGGGTGTTTCAAGTATACAGGCCGCAGACACTCGCTACAAGTACCCATGGCTTGACCTGTCGTCTGTTCCCCAACCCGAGGTGGAATGTTTGTGATGTAGGCCGATATTGTATATTATGTACCACCTGATTCAACACTTTAGATCTTTGCAGTGTGTGTATAGGGAGCGTTACTGTGTTGTATTGACCACACGGGTCTCGGCTTACAGAACAGCTACAACCGACGAGCTAAAATGGTAATATAAACCTATGTAGGATACAGGATACGCGGAGTGGGGTTGAGGATTTGTAGTGGAGGTGGAGTGGGGTCTGTGGTATGGAGATTGGGGTGGGGGGGGGGGGTAGCAAGGACGAGATGGGGGAGATGTCGTTCTTCACTGTGTGAGGGTTGTGTAAGTGTCCTCTTAGAAAACTGTAGGTCATCTTTAAAAAAGCGGCCAAGGCTGCAATACGTTATATACACAGACTGTCGCGGGACGCAAGATTTGACGTTATTGTCAACTTTCAAAGCTGCTGCTCGACGATATATAATCACCTATTCGCGAACTTGGGTCAATATCCAGGTTGCAGACCTATTTTGAAATTTCAGTTGCATCTGTGTTTTAGGACTGATCTTACTCTCTTGTGTATTGTTTTTGATTTATAGACATCTAAAAGTCACTTGGATTTTATTATCATGATGATGAAAATTTGTCGTATTACAAATGTTATTGTGTGATATCAATAAAGCAATTTATGATGTCACAAATTTTATTTAATAATATCAATAATTAACTTTTTAGATATCAAGAATTCGAATATTGGTGCTAATTAGGGCTGGGACGGGTAACTCGTGGTTAGTCACGCCTTATATTGTTTAGTGAAAAAAATTATATATGGTTACACTAAAGTCACTAATGTTCGCATTTCTTTCTGACTATGCACCCATTCCTTCTGATTTTTCATATGGTTAACTTAATTCAACTTCAGTGTATGAATGACCAGATTGTTTTATACATGTATCTAAATACGTTTTGCCAGGGCTATGCTAAAAATGTTCCCAATCGGACATTTCGAGACATCTCCTGAGACCTACAGTGGGTACCCGGGTAGGGTCGGGTAATAGGGTGGTGGGTACCCGGGTAGTACATTTGGACTCGTCCCAGCCCTAGTGCTTATATTGAATTATAGTTTACGGTCACAAGATTCCTTTTTGATCATCTAAAAATCAAATATGTGATTTTGTAATTTATATCAGATATCCTCCTCGGGATCGGGAAGAGAAAAAGTGAACCATACCTCGCGTTTGGACCGACAGGCAGAACACCATATGCAAGAAACGTTGCAATTTCAAGATTGAAACATTTGACAGAGCATTTAGAAAGTAATTCAAAAGTGCAACAAAGCAACATGCAAATTCACGTGAGTATAACAGACGAAGGTGAGACCACGTGATCCCCTATATTTATGGTGTCAGCGTGTATTATGTCACAACCATTTTACAAAACCCCACTCAGTCAACACTCCTTTCATGTTGCAATGGCCTCTGTTGATATACAACAACTATGCATTACTGAAATTGTAATTCAACTTGTGTGACGACATATAGTAATAACTGAAAATTCTTTCGAAGCAAAAAACGATTTCTTTTCATATCCATACGATGCACACAAAATAGTAAAATATGAAAGTATAAATTACTGAACCAGACCATGAACAATAACATAGTGAGGCATCCATAATAATCTGTTAGCTAGTTTATAGTATCTTCATGCAGTTAACTTATAGTAGCTTCATGAAACTTGCCTATAGTAACTGTCAAGTGTCCCTTTAATAAACTGTTAACGTGGCTTACAAAAATGAGTCTACATTTCTATTGATAGAATTTTGGATTTGGATTTTTTACAGCTATCATCAAATGACTTGACCCGATACACATTTGCATTGACAATATCCCCTATCATTTCCCGATATGTCATCATTAAACACGTAGCAATGGAGCGATTGTGTATATGTTTTTGACATAGATTATTCATGCATGTTAGTGATGGATTTCTACAGTAACCGGTTCTGTATTTAAGAGCATTTTTGCCAAGACATTATTGAGTTTAGTCGTTGGCAATATAGACTGATATTTGTTGACAACCAATTCGACTGACAACTTCTATCAGATCAGATCTTTGTTGACGTAATGCAATTCATCATTGTTGACGTTAGGCAATTCACCATTGATGACGTAATGCAATTCATCATTGTTGACGTAATGCAATTCATCATTGTTGACGTAATGCAATTCACCATTGATGACGTAAAGCAATTCATCATTGTTGACGTAACGCAATTCATCATTGTTGACGTAATGCAATTCATCATTGTTGACGTAATGCAATTCACCATTGTTGACGTAATGCAATTCATCATTGTTGACGTAATGCAATTCATCAATGATGACGTAATGCAATTCACCATTGATGACGTAATGCAATTCATCATTGTTGACGTAACGCAATTCATCATTGTTGACGTAATGCAATTCATCATTGATGACGTAATGTAATTCATCATTGTTGACGTAATGCAATCCACCATTGTTGACGTTATACAATTCACCATTGTTGACGTTATGCAATTCATAATTTATGACGTAATGCAATACATCATTGTTGACGTAATGCTATTCACCATTGATGACGTAATGCAATTCATCATTGTTGATGTAATGCAATTCATCATTGTTGACGTAACGCAATTCATCATTGATGACGTAGTGCAATTCACCATTGATGACGTAATGCAATTCACCATTGTTGACGTAATGCAATTCATAATTGTTGACGTAATCCAATTCACCATCTCGCTATAAAGCCCAACTCTTTCAAACACACTTTTTGCTATAATACACAACTCTCTAGACATCCAGCTCGCTATAACACACAACTCTCAAGTCAGCATCTCTCTTTAACACACAACTCTCCAGCCAACCATATCACTATCCTTACACAACTCCCCAGTCAAGTAAGCTCAGTTGACATTTACAAGTCTCCAGCCACATTAATTTTCCACATTATATCCGGCCACGTACGGTTGACTTTCATATAAGTAAATATCTCTACATGTGAGTTACACAAAACGTCAACAGCTCAACACACAGGTAATATCATCAACCCAGATCGGGCACATGGGCTTGCCGTGTCATATGACCAAGGTATAATTCACAGAGTGTGACTCATGGGTCTCTGAAACCTGACACTACAGGTAATTCACTCTTGCGTTCACCTGCGGTGACGTCAGTAATTCTCCGAGGCGTCTACACCTCGTTCGGCATATGTATTTGTGATTGACCCTGTTCGTATGTTTTCGGCGTGTGGCTTTTACATCCCTGTCTAGAATACATCGACACCAGTAGGCCAGTATGGCGGTATGGCGCTGGGGACAGGGCTCAGAGGTACCAGTTCGATTCTAGAGGCTAGACAACCAGGATTCTTAAGACCTGGTGCTAGTGGCTAGACAACCAGGATACTTGATACCTGGTGCTAGTAGTGGCTAGACAACCAGGATAATTGATACCTGGTGCTAGTGGCTAGACAACCAGGATACTTGATACCTGGTGCTAGTGGCTAGACAAGCAGGATACTTGATACATGGTGCTAGTGGCTAGACAACCAGGATACTTGACACCTTGTGCTAGTGGCTAGACAAGCAGGATACTTGATCCATGGTGCTAGTGGCTAGACAACCAGGATACTTGACACCTGGTGCTAGTGGTTAGACAACAAGGATACTTGACACCTGGTGCTAGTGGCTAGACAATCAGGATACCTGATACCTGGTGCTAGTGGCTAGACAACCAGGATTCTTGAGACCTGGTGCTAGTAGTGGCTAAACAACCAGGATACTTGTCACCAGTTTCTTATACGTACATTAATGTACAGTCAAAATCCGTTGTGTCGAACTTACGGTTATCTCGAATTTATTGTTGGTCCCTATGTATCCCTTCTTTGTTCACCATTTTCGGTTGTGTCGAACCTTGGCTAACTCGAGGCATTTACGTAGGTCCCTTCAACCTCGACACAAGAGTTTTTGACTGTATTAGCATAGTTGCTATCTTCTTGTCCATTTTAGTTTCTTTATTCTAATAGAGGCCATCGGTCCTCTGTGAGGCTATT